TACTACGACGACGACTACTACTTCTTTTACCCTTTCGTCCCCATGTAAGCAGAAGAGTGGCAGGTGCGGGTCGCCGAATGCGATGTGCGACGGGACCTCCAGGGCCATGCGCAGCGGTCATGGAGCCAGGCGCTAGTTCTCGATTTGGGGTTCGGGGTTGAGGGATCTTTGGTGTCTAGGTTGAAGGAATGGCGTTCTCTAGTATGCTGTGTTCTTGATTCTTGTGTTTGAGGGCGTTAAACCCTAAACCATAACCCTAACTCCTAAACCATAAGCCCGAAGCCCACACCCCGTAAACCCCAAGCCCCTAAACCCTAGGCCCAAACCCTAAGCCCTAACCACCCTAAACGCTAAAACCCCTAAACCCCCAAACCGCTAAAAACCTAAAACCCTAAAACCCCAAAAGCCCACCAGGCGTTGGCCAGCGACCTCAGGGGCAGCTGGACAGCCCTGGAGGGCGAGCGGCAGGTCTCGGAGAAGGCCTCTGGGGTTTGAGAAACTTAGGTGGGTCGCGGTTTAGGGTTTGGGTTTAGGGTTTAGGGGTTTAGGGGTTTAGGGCTTTGGGTCTTTCTCTAAATGAGGCTCCCTTTTCGGGGCCCTGACTTGGAGAAGCCTAAACCCAAAATCCAAAACCCTAAACCCTAAAGCCCTAATCCCCTAAACCCCAAAATCCAAAACCCTAAACCCTAAACCTACTTATGGGTTCAGGGTTTGGGTCTAGGCACTCCTTCAGCATTGGCTTTCAGAGGTTCTAGGCTTCAGGGTTGGCGCTCGTGCCTTAGCATGTCGGCTCGGAGAGTTTCGGGGTTCAGGGTTCAGGGTTCAGGGGTTAGGGTTTAGGGTTCAGGGGTTTAGGGGTTTAGGGTTCAGGGTTTAGGGTTCAGGGTTTAGCTAATCCACTGGTGGTTAGACCCTTTCTCGCCGCCACTGAGTTTGAGAGCATGCATGCCGCTGGTCGTCCCCCGCTTGTTGACAGGATTAGTCGTATGGCGTTGTCCACTGTAGGTGCTTTTCTCGAGGATGACTTTGCATCTGCCATCTCTCCCAGAGCCAACCGTGTTGAAGCTTTGCTGGCAATTGACGCTGCGTCGCCGTGCACGCTTGCACTGGTTCAGTTTGTTGATGATGTTTTCTGCCTTCAGTCTACGTGTTGGGGGTTGAAAAGAGCTTGCCAAGGTCTTCAATCTTTCGCTCACTTGTGGCGCCATAAATTTGCTCCTGGCCGTAAGGCTGCCTCGTACATGACGATTGGAGCAACTGTGCCGGTTAATTCTTCGCTTGCTCCTGTTGGGGGATCTTTGCCGCGTGCGGTGGATTGCTTGGGGGTTTTGGGGGTTTTAGTTGATGCTGACTTGTCTTTTTTGCCACTACTTGAAAAGACCATCGCCGTCCTTGGAACGGAGACCATGAGTCTCATCAAGGCCATGCGTGACCTCACTCTCAGCATTCCATTGCAGATTCGTGAGTTACAGAGTAGGGCTGAGGCTAAAGCTTTGTACGGAGCTGAAGCCCTTGCTAGCGCTGCTTGTGGATGGCCAGAGGTAGTGCGAAGAATAAATGTCGCCCACTACAACTCCTTGAAGGCAGTCCTGGGGGCCGAGCGCTGTTCCCTGAGAGCTGGGGCCCAACACAGACTTTTGCTCACTTTGGGGGTTAAGTTTAGGCTTAGTACCAAGCTGGCGATCCGCATAGGAACCGCCAGGGCCCGACTCCTGTCCTTGCCGTCGACAAGTCCAGTAACAGCAGCCATTCAGGGAGCCCTCAGTGTCACTGGTCGACACTGGCTCACTGATTCACTGCTTGTTCTGGCCTCGATTGGCTTGGACCAGAACTCAGGCGCGGATTGCTTCTGGCCCCAGACAGATTGCACGTCCGAGCCTCAAGTTGCAAGACAGGCTGTTCTGAAAAGGAAGCGTGAGGTATTACTGCCCGCAGCTCGCAGATCAGAGTACGGCTGGTTTCAAACTCAGCTTTCTGAACATGCTGCCTGGCCTTGGTCGTTGCCGCATTGGGATAGCCAGCAGGCTCTTGGGTTCTTGATGAATCAATGCTGGGGGAAGGCAATGTGGCAGCATGCAAGAGTGTGGATCCTGGCACGCGCCATTAATCGACCACCCTTCGCTGCTGCTGGCAGAGCCGACCTGATCAGCATGACGGCATGTCCATTGTGCGCAGGCCCTTGTTCACTGGAGCACTTTCTCACCTGCGATCTGGTCATTGCGAAGGTGGGTCCTCCACCGCTGCCGTGGCCGACAATAGCAACTCCGGATCACGTGCCTGCTTGCATTAAGTGGATTGGTCGCACAATGACGGTACTTGTGGCCAGTGTGTGAAAATCAATGCCCGGCGCTCGGTTCTTTCTTAGGATGATGCTGTTCCCGTCACTCCCGGCCCGCGTTGGCACAAGTGAGGGAACCCCGCTTGGGCGGCCTGCGGGCGCCCAAGGTGACCCGGCTCAGGGTCTTCAATCTAACAGAGCCTAAACAGAGCCT